CTATATATATATATATATATATATATATATATATGCTCTTTTTCTTTCTTTCTGAGTGTATGGGTGCAGGTATGAAAATTCCTCCCTGTCGGGTTTATTCTGGCTCTTTGTGTCTCTGCCGTATTCTTTGCTGAACCACACAGGATTCGGGACACGTATGGAGGTGCCGCCTTCGCGGGATACGTCTGTCCGTCCCACCTCCATCTTGTCTCATCATCTCCATTTTGTTTGGTGTCTCCTTTACCGCAATCGTTGTCTTTACCGTCCTTGGTTTTTATTCGTAGCCTTTGTTTGTGTGCCCGTTATTTGGCAAGAACGGCATCTGCTGGAGGAGCGAGTCCGCAAGCAGCAACAGGAGAAGGAATAAAACAAAAGGATGATGCACTTCCGGCGTGTCATTTGTTTACCGTGTCATCACCTTTCCTATGGGGCCCTCTGGTCTCTCGTGCGTCGCATCAGCAGCGTCTCGACCTCCATGACAAGCCTGTCGCCGGTTAATATTGAAAGTTTCACACTGGATGAAACAATTGTAAAGAAGGATATGGAGGCGCTGGAGCGCTGGAATGAACTCTCACAGGTGATAGACAGCTCACGGGCGGAGAAGGCAAATGAAAAGGTACTGATGGCTGTTGAAAAGGGATTGGGAATGCTAGCAGAAATGGGGGCGCTGAATGCACCGATACAATGCGAGACACTTTTGTTGTTGGAGGCAACTCAGGCGCACTATAACCTGAAGCAGTTTGAGGCCGCCTTGAAGAGTGCAGAAAGGGCGAAAAATATACTTCTAGAAACCCCTGTGGCCGTGAGGGACGCTGCGCTATTGGCAGAAGTGAAGCAACTGATGGCGTATGTCCTTCTTGAAAAGGGGAACATTGACGAAGCCACTACCATCTTCACCGAAGTATTGCGATGGATTGATGTGGATGCAAAGTCGGTGATGCCGATGCAAGCTGTGGCTGCTGTGAATATGCGCCGGTCAGTGGTCACAGGGATAGGCTTTTGTTATCAAAAACGGGCCGAAAAGGAGGCTGCAAGCGGCGGCGATGACAAAGAATTGTACGGTAAAGCGCTTGATCTTCTTATTGAGGCACTCAGTGTTCACATTGATGAGAATGACTACGAGTCCGTAAAGAAAACACTCTCTGCCGTCTTAAAATGTTTTGAGGGCGTGAATGACATTTCGCAGGCGATATCGACGGGCGAGAAGTATGTTAGTTGGTGCCGTCGGCATTCTGACGAGGCAGGAGTTGCTGAAGGCACTGCCTGGTTGAAAGAGCTGCAGAAGAAGTACGGCAAGGAAGGCGACACAACCCGGTGAAGGGAAAAGATGGACTATGACACGTACCCACAAAATAAAACACACAGACAAGATCATTTGACACCTTTGGGTGGGTAGACGTTTGTTTGTGTTGACGCGTGCAATTTCAAAGGCGAAGAGATGGTGATGAGGGTGGGGGGAGTAATTTGCAGTAAATTAGTGCAAACGGAAGGAGATGAAGCTGGCGTTTTTTTTTTTTTTTACTATGCAGCAATCATTACACCTGTCGTGTGGAACAACAGAGTCATCATGTAAGGTGGCATGCATGCTTCTCTCCCTGCCTTTTTCTCTCACTCTCTTTCTCTGTGGGGGAGGGGTGTGAGGCAAATTGGTTCTCCAAAGTTTTTTTTTATTTTATTTTCCCTTTTCTTCGCTGTTTCTGCTTCTTCAACCGCCGCAGTGGGGTGCCCAGGGACTGTAGCAGGAAAACTCATACACGAATTGAAGTAAAAAAAAAACAAAGTGGGTTGGGTTGGGTGGGGAACGAAACCGCAGAAGGGAGCAGGCACGAAAGTAGAGTGGTAGAACGTCAAATGCTCGATGAAGGGGATGGGGAATGTGTGGATCTTCGCCATTCGTGGAATACTTTCATGGTTCCCCGCAGTAGGAAGAAGGCCGGGACTATAGGCGGTGCTGGCTATGGGAAGTACACACTCCTTCGCCGCTGCCGTGTAGTGGGAACGGAGGCGGACGATCAGCCGCTCTTTTTTCTTTCCCTTATTAGCCCAAATCGTGAATTACTTAGCACGACAGCACACCTGTTTATTCAGTTTAACGCCCAGTTCCGTGACTGTGTAGAAGAGTGCGAAAACAAAATAACGGCGTTGCGCGTCCTTCATGAACAGCAGCTTGCAGATCTGGTGGAGGCAGCAAACCGGGACACCAAAGACATGGTGGTGGGTTCAGAGTTAACGCAGATATTTGTCCTGAAGCATCAGAGAGAGCTAGAGGAACTGCAGCAGGAATGCCGCGTAACCGAGCGATCTCTTGAGCTGGAGCTGCGACAGGGATTACTCGCCTTGCTGAAAACATCGGCACCCGATGCCCTGACAGCGCTCGCAAGGGAGAAACTACGCGTAGGTGTTGATCAAGGTACCCGTATTACAAATATTGCATACTTTGTCCCTTTACCAGTTCCTGTGCGCACCGTGGAGTTGCCAAATCTTATGCGATATGAGACGGTTGGAGTTCGCACGAAGGATGTTTCACTGCGACCTGTGGTTGTAGACGTGTCACCGATATCATTTCTGCAGTCGTGTCTCACTTCGCTGTGCTCTGAGGAACATGACGCAGCGCCTGCTGTGACGGAGCATCTTCTTCGTTTGTCACAGCAGACTCACGCCGTGTTGTTGCTCATTGGCTCGCAGGCGGAGGCGGAATCACTTTTGTCGACGGCATCTGCGGAACTTTTGCTGAACGACTCTTATTATTCTGGGGAATCTCTACGTTTTGCCCCATTAAGGCGACATCGCCACTTGAAATTTATGCTTTCCACACGATTTTGGGGGGCCAATATCATTTTGCTTTGGACGCCGCCTAAAGGAGAGGGGCCTTCGTCAGGATGGCCGTTCGTCGTGGAGGATGCGCTTAATTTGGCCTTTTCGTGGAATGCTGACATGTTTTCTGTGGCTTCTATGACGTCGTCTACGTTTTGGCACAGTACATCTTTTAAGGGTTCTACTGAACAGTCACAGGAGGTTGCCATGGCGGTCCTGCATCAGTTACAGCGTGGTGTGACTCGACTTGCTCATGAAGCTGCGGGGACCAAAGTGTCCACAACATGGGGGATGCCAGAGGCAACTGAGACACAAACGTCACCGCAACCGCAGCGATGGGAGGACGGTTACGCCACCAACTTTCCCGCCTCAGTGGGGATGCCGCAACTGAAGTTCAATACAAATGTCGCCATTCGTGCCTTCTTTCCGCTTTCCGTTTTTCAGACAGAAGGAGAGGAGCTATGCTCGTCGCGCGGGGGCGCTCTTCATGACGCGGCTTTTTTTTCTAATTTTGCTGTTTGTGGTGATGATACAAATGTGAGAGGAGGTCAGCAGAGGCGTGACATCTCTCTGACGTCAGTTTCAAGTGATGAAAGTTTTTCAAGTGACTTGGTGACGTCACGTGAAGGCGGTTGTCCCCCACAGCAGCCAATGTCGTTCAAGAAGTTGCTGGTGTACACATTTGGCAAAACAGTTGTGGTTCATTGAGTTTTGTTTTTGCTTTTGGTTTTTCACTTTATATCCAGGTGGCACAAAGTCCCAGTGCCACGCGCCGTCGGATTCACATTTCCACGAGCAGAAAGACTAAGTAGAAGAATAATAAAATGGTGCAAGGTGGAGGACAGCCATGACGCAGACGTGGTGAAGGCGCTAACGTTATTCTTTTGGGTTTCTTTGTTGTTGTTGTTGTTTGCCTTCCTTTACTTTTTTTGTTTTTTACCGGGTGTGTGTACGAGGAGGAGTTGTTGCGAGGACATACATACTCTCGCTCAATAGTTGACGGTTATCGTGTGAAGAAAATACGAAGGTAAAGGGATAGCGAGGAAAAAAAAAAAGAGCTGTGACAATTCAAAAAGAACAAGGACACACATACTTACATATAGGGTGTTCTATTGAATAACAACAAGAAGGCTGAGGGACGTACGTAAGTTCGCGCATGCCATCCAAGGGAAGTGCGCGTTTTCCGGTTAGCTTGCCTCCGCGCTCAGCCGAGGAATCATGGGACGAGCACATTGACGCTGTGCTTTTTGAACTGCAACGACTATACTTTGAGCGTGTTCGCCCTGTTGAGGAAAAGTTTCAGTATGACATTTTTCGACCTTCTTGGTTCTCCGAGGCAATTGTACAAAAAAAGCCATTTGTGACGTTTTTGGGCCCCTTCTCCGCAGGGAAGTCCACGTTTATTAACTACCTATTGCAAAGTAACCACCTCCTAACGGGGCCGCAACCACTAACAGACAAGTTTACTGTTATCATGCACGGCGAGGAGGTTCAGCAGATCTCTGGGCGTGTACTTATGGCAGATAGTTCACAGCCATTTCGCGGGCTTAGCCAGTTTGGTGACATGTTCGCGGAAGTCTTTCAAGGCTTACTTGTGCCGCACCCCCTTTTGCAGTCGGTATCACTTATCGATACACCGGGTGTACTCGAGGCTGCAGGTGATATTCATAGGCGGCGGTACGACTTTATCAAAGTTTGCCGATGGTTTGTGGAAAAAAGTGACCTTGTATTTGTTCTCTTTGACCCGACGAAGTTGGATGCCGGGACGGAGCTTCGGATGTTGTTTAAGCATGCCCTGCGTGGTAATGAAAGTAAAATACGCATTGTGCTAAACAAGGCAGACACGGTTGGGCCACAGGAGCTGATGCGTGTCTATGGGGCTCTGTTTTGGAATCTTTCCGGTCTTATCTGTTCGACAGAACCACCGCGTGTGTATGTCTCAAGTTTTTGGGACCAGCCATATAAAAAAGGTACAGACCATAATCTATTCACGGATGAAAAGTCCGATCTCCTCTACGATCTGACTGAAGTGGTGCCGTTACAGTCTTTGGATCAGCGCGTCACTTCTGTGATGCAGCGGACGAAGCTTGCTCTCGTCTTTGCACTCGTGTGCGCCGCCTACAAGTCGCGCATGCCTTGGCTTATAGGAAAAGATAAAGCTCGTGCGGGGTTCCTTGCACAGCTGCCACAAATTGTGGAGGATCTCTCGAATACGTATCGTCTGGGCGTAACGGACTTTCCCACACGTGAGGAGATGACGGCTTTCTTGTCAAAGGTCCGCACAGACGAATTTTACGATATGAATCGCCTACGAAAGAAGGGATGGCCAACCTTGCTAAAACAGACGATCGAAGAGGATCTGCCTGCACTTCTCAAACCAATTAAACAAAGCGCGGTAGTGGACCCACGCGACCGCAAACATGCCATTATGATGCAGCGTAATTATACCAAGCAAATGTCAGATCAACTGGCGGGCCAGCGTGGAATACAAGGTGGACTGGGACAGCAGCGGATCTCAGAACACCGTGCTCACACAATGCCGAATGCTGCTTTTTTGAACGCCGCACTTAATTCTTCTATTCAGCCGTCACAACAGGCTTCACTCCCTCAACTGACGCCAGATCAAATGTTCATGATGATGCAGATGATGCAAAATCTGTCATCACAGAATCAACAACCGCAGCCACAGTTGCTGCAGCTAGAGCAAGGTCCCACACAGCAGCTGACGCCAGATCAAATGTCAATGATGATTCAGATGATGCAAAATCTGTCATCACAGAATCAGCAGTGGTGACACTGGGGTAGTTGTAGTAGACACTCTTATTTAGTTATATTTCTATGATTTGTTTCTGTTGTCGTCGTTGTTTATCTTTTTTATTTCACTCCGCAACCCCACAGTTGCTAGTTTGTGTTTTGTTCCTCATTATTTTGGGGAAGGGTGTGTGACGCGGATTGTAGAGTGGTGAAAGGACGTCGTGTAAACAGTACCGAAAGGAGGAAGTAAGAGAGCACTGGTGACAACGATACCAACAGCACGAACAACACACCGTTTTTGTCGCCGGCACTTCTCGTCTGCCTTAGTTTGTTCAAATGTATTTAGCTAAATCTTTGCTTGGTCATGTCTTTTTCTGAGCACAGGAGGATCCTACTGGACATCTTTACTTTTTTGTTCCTTGTTTGTTTTATTTTTTTATTATTTACCATCTTGTGTTTTATTCTGCTCTTCTTTGCCTCTGTCATGTGTTGAACTGAAAGGAGCCGAACCTTTTTTTTTTTGTTTGTCTGTTTGCTTGTTCTGATCTTTGTTACTGCGTTTGGTTTCCTGTTGCATATGCATACAACACGTATGTGGTAAATAATACATTTTGTACGATAGCGGGCCTCTCACCACGATCCTGTGCCCTCACGAGCAGAGGGAGGCCACTGGAGGTATTTAGCGTGGCGATGCGGAGGCAACGGGAGGATGATGTAAACGGCGGTGAGGTGCAGCGGTTGCGTGCGGTGCGATTGGAAGGCACAAGTGATGCTGCTAATCTTCCTGAGGTGAAGGCTGCAGTCAATCCCTTTACAATGCGGCCGTTTTCAAAGCAATACTATGAGATTCTTGCCGTTCGAGCCACGCTCCCGGTGTATGAAAAGGCAGAATTACTCAAGCAATACGTACGTGACCATCAAGTTGTTCTGCTTGTGGGAGAGACTGGGAGTGGTAAAACCACCCAGGTTCCACACTTTGTTGCGGAAATGGGTCGGCCAGGCCTCGTTGCCTGCACCCAACCTAGGAGAATCGCCGCCATTTCTGTGGCAACGCGTGTCGCCACGGAGATGGACGTAAAACTTGGAGAGGAGGTTGGCTACCATGTTCGGTTTCAGTCCATGATGGGTGAAAAAACGCGGGTACTATACATGACAGATGGTATGCTTCTACGAGAGGCCTTTTCAGATCGGGAGTTGTCACGGTTTGGCGTTATTATTGTAGATGAGGCACACGAGCGCACAATAGACACAGACGTTCTGCTTGGCGTTTTACGTCTTCTTATGGAACGCCGTCCTGAGTTTCGACTCATTGTAATGTCTGCAACACTTGACATGCAAAAGTTTCGGGCATACTTTCCTCAAGCACCACTATTGCAAGTAACAGGTCGTATGTATGATGTTCAAGTTAAGTATACACCATACCCGGTAAAGGATTACGTGGAGGCTTCTGTGCGGTGCGTGTGTGATATTCATATGAACGACTCACCCGGAGATGTCTTGTGTTTTCTCTCAGGTGAGGCAGAAATTGAGAGGGCAGTGTCGTTGACAAAAATGAAGCTAGGCTCTTTGGTAGTTCGAGATTTGGAGACCACACGTGATAGTCAAGGACCAATGTGGGTGCAAGTCTTGCCACTATACGGCTCACTTAGTGTGGAGGAACAAAAGCGTGTATTTGCTTCTGTTGGTCCTCATACAAGGAAGGTGATCTTCGCCACGAACATTGCGGAGACTTCACTCACAATTGACGGTATTGTTTACGTGGTTGATTGTGGGTATCATAAACAAAGTTTGTATAACTCGGAGGTTCGTGTGGACTATTTACTTCCCGCACTCATTAGCAAGGCGTCAGCCGAACAACGTAAAGGGCGTGCGGGCCGAACGCGCCCAGGTAAGTGTTTTCGCCTGTTTCGTCCACAGGACTTTGCTACTTTTCCGGACCAGACACACCCTGAGGTGCTGCGTTCAAGTTTGGTCAATACTGTACTGTTACTGCTTAAGCTTGAGGTGGAGAATCCGTATCAGTTTGTCTTCCTTGATCCACCCTCCCAGCAAAGCATTACGGATGCATATTGTCAGCTGAGTTTCTTTGGTGCCGTTGATGACGACCTGCACCTGACAGAATTCGGTAAATTAATGGCTGAGTTTCCAGTTGATGCCTGTCTCTCCCGCATGTTAATACGCTCCGCGGAATACCGTTGTGGCGCCGACGCGGCGGTTCTTGTTGCCATGTTGGAGGTTGGTAATGTCTATGTGCGTCCGTCAGGACGTGGAAATGAGGCAGATCAACAGCATGCTACGTTTCAGCACCCTGATGGTGATCACCTAACACTTTTTAACGTGTTTCATGCTTTTTGGCGCAACAATCAATCTCCGCAGTACTGTTTTGACCATTTTTTGCGTTATCAAGCCCTGGCGCAGGCCACTCGCGTGTATGCGCAGCTGACAAAGCTAATGGGGAAGAAGCAAATTCCTATTGTCTCCACCTACGATGATAAGACGAGATCTTTAGACTCAGTGGCGCTACGGAAGACAGTACTTGAAGGATTCTTTACGCAGGTTGCCTATAAGTCGCCCTCTGCAGAGAATTACAAGACAGTGAAGGATTCTCAGTCGGTTGTGTTGCACCGTCAGTCGGTGTTGTCGAAAAGGAAGCGCCCCCCATGGATTGTCTACGACCGCCTTGAAGTACAGGGAAACGAAGGAACGTTTATACGTGTCGCGTCAAGGATTGAACCAGAGTGGTTGATTGTGGTTAGTGACTTCTTTACAGATCCGGCGGAGTTGGCAGACGGGGAGATTTGCCACATATTGAAAAACTTAACCAAAACAGTTTGATAACTTTGTCTTCACTTTACGCATGGCAGTTGGTATCAATACGCTCCTTATAAAACGAGGAAACTGGGCTAATGGAAGGCGAAGAGGAAAAAATGAAATAAGTTAAACCGTCATTACCTCTCCATCTCTTGAGTCTCAAGTGTCCCCTGACCGTTTAACTGCAGTTATCCAATATATATCATTACTAATTTGGCGTTCACCGCTCTCTTTGACTCTTTTTTATTATTTTGTATTCTTCCTGTTTTGTGCGCCGGAATTAGGAAGTTGGCAAGGCCCGTACATGGAGCGGCCGCAGTGTGCTGACGGAAAGATAGAACTTGAGGTTGTCAGGAAGGACGGACGTCCCATTGTGTGTTGCCCGATAGATGTGAGCGAGCTGCTCAGCCAACAGGGTCGCGCTGTCAAGGTGGGCGACGGTGTTCACGTCAGGCTGGAGGAGTACAGCAGTGAGGACGCTACTTCCTCGGAGGAGACGGCGGAGGGAGGAGACGGCGATGGGAGCACGAATGAGAGCGGGAGCAGCAGCGAAATAGACGCTCCACCGGGATACCGCAAGGTGTCCTGGCACGACTACGCCTTTGGCGTCAATGGAGGCGGAGAGATTCCAGATGCGAAAAGTTTGAGTTTCCAATCTCCGAAGCGCAACAAGGAAATTGCAGCACTATCCCATAGTAGCGGCCAGAATAATAGCAGGGCCCCTTCCACTCGTCGTGATGCTTGGGCCGCCTTTGCACCCCCAATGGATCCGGAGAGAAGTTATAACTGGATTCAGATGACGTCACTCATGCCAAGTATAACGTCTAGACGCTTTCGGCTGCCTCCCCTCATGTTACATGCCACGGCGTCTTATCTAGGCCCTGTCGACCAGGGGCAACGGATTCTTGTGTATGGTGGGACGACCAACGTTTGCAAAACAGTCGAGAAGGAGCTTTATGAATTCTCTCTTTTAACAGGCCATTGGCGACGACTGGAGGGCAAACATGTGTTTTTCCCTGGCAATTATGGTCATGCAGCGGTGGTGGTGGAACATCCTCAGCGTTTCGTGGTGATTGGGGGTGTGGGCCCTGGCGGACAGCCGGTTCAGATGGAAACATATTGCGATGACTTTTTCAAGCAACGGAGTCGTATTTTATTTCCATGCAAAGGCAAGGCAGAAACAAGGCGGCCACCGTTTGTGCGTTCTAAGATTGTTGACTTGGAGCAACCAACACTCTGGTCGCTTGCGATGCGAGTTGAACAAGAACCCCAGCTTGGGTTTTTGCCAATGTTATTTGAGATGGACTTGAAAACTCTCCGTTGGCGAGTCGTCCAGACATCTCCAGAGATTCCTGTGGCTTTTCACACAGCTGTAGCAAAGTCTCATACAATTTATGTTTTTGGAGGTCTGACCAATCGACTACTCGTATCCGCGCAGCTTATAGCGATCGATGCTCGGACCTATACTGTTTCACTTATTCATTCATCTGCGGTTGCACCAAAGGCACGTTATCTGCACAGTGCCGTCATGCATGGGAATTGGATGATCATCTATGGAGGCTTTGACGTTTATAACAACCCACTAGACGATGCTTGGGCCTTCGATATAGCACATGAACGTTGGGAACTGTTGGAGTGCCACAGCGCGCCTGCTCGTGCCGCACATGCTTCTTGTCTTGTGGGCTCGCGTTTATTTGTCATTGGGGGATTTGGAAGCCCCATCAAAGATAGAGAAAAACCCACAAATAGTATCTTTGTGCTTCAACTGGTACCAACTAGTACGGGGCAATATCTCTGGAAGGAGTTGACAGTGCGACCTGCAGTACCCCCGCTTGCGTTCTCTGTTGCCTGCCATTGCGCTGATGACGCTTCCTTTATTTTGTATGGTGGATGCACTGTCGCCGGAAAGGATATGCTGAAGCATCCACCAGATGCAAAAAAAGTAGGTACGCGTGTTCCCGTCCAGAGTGGCGACAAGAATAATATCCACAGGAACGCTCACAATGATGATGGCGAAAGTTATGACGGTTTTTGGCGGGGATTGCTGCCTTTTAATGACGGTTTTGTGTTTACGTTTCCCCTGAAGAAGAAACATTTGATGGGACCTCATGGTGACGGTAATGATGCGGCGTCGATGCACGTAAACGAACTTGGGGTAGCGACTGATCCCGAGGAGATGACTCCAGCGTTTCGGGAATTTGTGCGGCGGCAACAGGATTTTATCCTTCAGAAAAACGCATCTCGTGCGCAGACCATAAAACGGACGACAATTGAAGAACTTGAAAACATGGAACCACATTTGTATTTCACGCCTGAGGAGATTACGGTGCTGCTGGAGAGAAGTAACCGCTTGTACGACAGCTTTACTGAATACAAGATGGAGATGCTGCCACCTAACATTCCTAATAGAGAAAATCGAGTGCGCTGTAATGAAGAATGCGTCTCTCTTTCTCTTCAGGTGAGGGATGTGCTGATGTCTATGAAGGGGCAAGCGCCTGGGGTGACGGCTGTGAAGTCGAAGGCACATCGGATAAAAACAGGAGAGAAGTTTGAGGATTATTCGGCCGCCAAACCATTTCGTCGTGTGGTTGTCATGGGTCTCGTGAAGGAAATTAGAGCTCATCTCAAACGTCTTCATACCTTGAATAAGGCCATTCAAACTGTGGAGTGGGCTGAAAAGAAAGCATATCTTGACGCTGTAGACAATATGCGGCAACGGGTTGTGGAGTTTATGCAAGCTGTGAAGGATGTTCTTGATAAGTATATTGAGCGAGGCGTAGAATCTTTGGTCTCTGCCGTGGAGAAACGGAAGGACAAGCTGCGACGCTTGACAGAAATTGTGGAGAAGAATCGGCATGACAAGATATTTCAAACCGAGGAACCCGATCCAGAGCGACAGCGTGTGAAAAAGATGTGGATGAAAGATGAAGGAAATGCAAGTCCACCGAAAAATCCGACGCGGTCTGTTTCACTTACTCATTATTGCCGTCGCTCTCGTTCCATTGGGGCTGGCTACTACAAGGATGAAGCCAAGGCTGTTATTCCACTGCAACCGAAGGAAGTTGAACGTCTGCTTAAAAAAATACGCCTTGTACGTAAGGTTGCGGTCTTATTTGGTGACTACTGTAAGTCGACACAGTCGACTGAGGAGAAGCCATCGAATGAGATGCCACTACCACTGTCAGCAGTGCCACTGACCCCTGCTGCCTCGGAAGCTCACTCCCTCATTGTTCCTTCTTCACTTGCCATTGTGGAAGCAGTAGCCCCTTCCAATGTTTCTTCAGTAACCCATACGGCTGAAGCAAATGTGGGGGTGGCTTCCCCGAGTGAGCTTGTTATACGCCGTTCAGATGCCATTCGGCAGGAGGCTGTAGAAAAAACGGGTCTTGTGGTCCAATGCGTGTGCGCATTGGCAAAGGACCTGGAAACTTCTCTGGTAAACGGCAAGCTGGATTCTCATACTGATGTCAGTAAGGATGGGAATGGGCAGACACTTTTGCGCCTTTCCTCGCTACGTCCTCTTATGTCGTGTAAGAGGCAACTGACGCAACTTGGAAAGAAGGTTCCTGGAATTCGCGTAAATCGTTGGGCTGTGAACGATGTTGCTGGCGCCCCCCAAGATGAAGAGGCTCAAAAACGTTTTGAGAAGATGTCAAGGTGCTTGTCTGCCCTTGTGCAGCGTCTCACTGCAACTTTTTTAGCCAATGCGGGGGCGAGACCGCCTTGCGCGGCGTCCAAGAAGATGCAGCTAGGGGCGGCTTGGAGATCCGTGTCATCTTCTTCTGCGCACCCCCCCTTGCGTGCATCACCGTCCCCCTTATTGGTGACCTCATCGTCACCCTCGTCTAAGAAGCATCGGCGAGTAGTGAGGGCTATTTCCACGGTGAGTGCAAGTGACGTTGCGACGACGGCTGAGGGTGAGGATTATGCTTCGCGCAAGCAAGTAAAATCATCATCGCCGCCACGAGAGGCACAACAACAACAAAAACAGTCATCTTGTATCTTTGCACCGCTTTCCACTCCATTGATGCTTCTAGATGCATCTCATTCAAAGGCTGCTGTGACGCCAGAAATACCCAGACCCATTTCTCTTACCTCAAATGAAGCGAAGTCACTTGTCGCTCCGTTGCATACCACGATTTCTGTCACTGGTGAGGGTGTTATTATTCCATCTGTGAAAGATACGATAGTTATTCCGAATGCCCAGCAGCAGGAAACCACTTGGGCAAATAAAACTTCTACCATTATCGTTCCCTTTACAGAGACGTTTAACGCTGCGCCTTGCAATGATGCACGACAACCGCCACCTCCACACATTGTGGTTTCCAGAGGTCCAACCACTACGGCAACTGATGTTAATTTGACTGTGTCGGCGGACTTAGCTTCATTGGGGGGTTCTTTATCTGCTATGCATATAAATATGCGACCGGGCATGGAGTGTGATAAGCCTGCTTCATCCGGTATGGTAAGCCTTTCTCCAGGAGTTTTTTGTGGCCCCAGTTCATCTGGTGTAGCGGTAAGCCCAGAAACGGGTCTTTCGTCTCAACAAGCGACGATGATGCTTGAGGAGGACTACTTTCTATTTGGTCGCCGATACACAGCGGATCCCGTGGCTGCCCCGTGTATTGTGGAAAACACGCATGAGCGACGGGTCGTTTCGGCGGTGGAGTCACCATTAGTGGGGCGTTGTGAGAAAGGTGTTAAGATATCACCACCCGTGGGTGCGCTTGCGGGCCTCAATGTGGCGGCGTCGCGAAAGCAAGTCGGACTCTCGTTGTTCCGTCAACATCCCTCGTCCAACCCTGTACCTAGCGCATCGGTGGATGTTCCTGCGAGGCCTCTGAGGGGGGAAATGTTTCGAGGAAGACTAACGCCTGGTGAGATGCAGATTTTACAGGCAAGAGAGCGTTTACGTGCCTCATCATCGCGGCGGTGAGCAATGACAATAATGAAGGGAAAAGGAAAAGAAACGCCTTCAACTTACCCATAGAGAAGAAAAATACCGATATAATAGAAGAAATGGCATAGATTTGATTGTGTGTATGTTGTTGCTTTGTTTTTTTTTTTTTTTTGTGTGTGTGTGAACTTTTTGTTGTTGTTTCACTGTGGAAAGGGTGTTTCTCTGGGAAGGATAGAGGGAAAAAGCCCATTCCTTTTTATTTTAGAGGGGAATAGGCCGCAAATTGGCGATTTAAGTCCATAGGCGCATTACATGCATTTTCAGGGAAGAATGAGGAAGAGAAAAGTAGCCAATAAAGGAGAGAAATAAAGGGAATGGGCTGAAGGAAGACAGTAATACAAAAGTGGTCAAGCAGCAGGGAAAAGGAACGGCAGCAGTCATTGGTGGAATGAGGGAGAACGACGGTAATACTGAGTTTTTGGCGAAAGGTGCATAAATGGGAATACAAGGGAACATTTCATGGGAATTGTTTTTTTTTTTTTCTTGCTTGTCACGCATATGTGCATATCCTTGTTTTTGCTGCCTCTTGTCTCTTTTGTTTTAAAATACAGTTTGCCTCTTATTTTTCCACTTATCGACCCTACAGCCACCCCCGAGTCTTCCGTATAGCGAGAGGGGAAAAGGATATTTGTACACATATACATACATACTTTCCTATAGGGCAAGGAAAGGGGGAGAGGCTTCTGGAGCCAGGAGGAAGTGTTTCTTGCGAAGTTTGCCACTGCTGTGGAAACGTAACGAAAAGGGAGGGAGGCGGGGAACAAATATCAACAAAATAACATAGGTATAACAAGAGAAAAGACAAACAGAAACATATAAGAGAGACACAAAACGGAATCAACGCCAAAAGCAAAGGAAGAAAAGAAAACGAGGGTGATTTGAGTATTTTAGAGTAAAGGAATGAGAGAAGATCAACGGCACCTACCGTTTGGGCGGCGAAATCCATTGGCTCGTGAATATGAAGTAGCAAAACGACCCATTTTTTTGCTGGATGGTTGGGACATTGTGCAGGGAACCGATGCTGCTGCATACGTCTCCAGTAGTGTAACAGATGGGGTGATGTACGGCACTAACGGATCTTTGGGTGTTCGACACCGGAGTGAAGGTGACACAATAGGGTTTGAAACAAGTGTCTTTGTGAATGGAGTATACCACAGTGTTCCAATTGATAATCACATTAAGAGTGAAGCCCTACCCGACGAGATGCAGCTTGGGGCCACCGTTTGTGATATCCATCTTGACTGTCTTATTGATGGCGATTGTGGCACCCTGCGGGCCATGCCTTCTCGACGGCTTGATTTGCGTAGTGCAACATATTATGGTGAATGTATTGGTGTAATGAGTGGGGATGGTAGACTGATGTTTGATGGTGCCTATCGCCGTGTTGTTTCCATGAAGGAGCTGGATTTATGGGGAGCAGAAGTTGTATACTCCAATTTTTTACTTGGGTCATCGTTTGGTGATCTTCAATTCTCTGAGTCCCCTACGTACCTTCCTCCCACAAACATTGTAAATTTTTTAGGATCGGATGATACTTTTCCTTCATATACCTTGGAGTTTCTTGTAACACTGACGGTGGATTTGAGAGAGTGGAATGTTCTGCGCGGTGACAATGCTGATGATGTTCTGCTACAGTCCCGCACCTCAGGCATTGTGGTGAGTACGTCTACGCAATCTACCTGTGTTGTGGAGTACAAAGGAGGCGCTTCAAAACTTGCAGCAGAGGATCAGGTCTTGTCCGAAACAGGAGACGACAGTTTAATGGATATGAATTTTTCTACGGCGGCTGTGTCGCACCCTAGTGATAGCGAGAGTGACCCCGGGTATGGGGGCATCACTGTTGCTTCCTTTGGGAACCCCCGAAGCAAGAGCATGTCTTTTAGGAAGCGATTTGTTTTGTCTCTTAGCACTGACTCAATGCCCTTGAAAGTAACGCTAACGTTTTTGTCCCGACACCACACGGGTGTGATTCCTACTACTAGTTCATTTCCTAGCCTTTCAGAAATAATAGACGATCAACGTTTGATACTGGATAAATTCTGGGACCGTTTTTATATTGATTTAAATCAGCAAGAAGAACTGACACAACATCGCTTACGTCTCTCGCTACTGTTTAATGCTTTTCGACTCTTTTGTGTTTCCCATAATCTACATAATGGGTTATCGCGGGGAGGGTGTTCTTCCACTAGAAAAAGTTTGTTGTATGATTTTCATCAGTACCTGTACCATGGTATTTTCTACACCTTGACGTCGCCTCCGCAAGCCTTGGCTTTGATCCGAAGCCTGTATTCACTTTTACCACAAGCAAGAGTTAACGCTCATCGTATTTCACTAAAACACGGCGCCGTCTTTCCACGGAGCACCATTAAAGGGACGGAATGTCAACACTACAACATTGTGAGTCAGGCACGATTATATGTTAATGCTGAAATTGGGTATGTTATTAACTTTTTTTTCGCTGCTGCAGAAAATATTGATCAAACGGATCGTCTATGGCTTCTAGAGCTCATGCTAGAAACTGCGCGTGTGTGGCCTCAGTTGGGAGAATGGGTGGAGAGTGAAGCCTCTTTTCGTCTGGATAATATTGCAGGACCTGATGAGTACAATAGTACAGCCTCTGGAAACTTTTATATTCATTTATCTGCCAAAATGCATTTGCGGTATGCCTTAGATCTTTATGAGCAACAAAGGAGTTTACTTGGAGAGGCGGCGATGGTGCGTCTGTTAAAGCAAATTGATATGGATGAATCCGAGCTGGAAAATTTTAGATCCACCTCCGACGGTATTGTGGTACGTCGTAAGGATTGCTTGGGAGTGTACATGGTGCATGACTACTTTAATACACTTGAAGAATGGAAGGCGGAACGTCCTAAGCATCCATTGTCAATGAACTACCATCCTCTCGCAATTTTCCGCCACATGCTTGTTGATGTTCCAGAGGTATTGTTGGGAATGATTTTGTACCAAGATATGTTTGAAAAAAAGGACTTAGCAAAAAATTTGGCCCACTATGAGGCACTTTGTACATATGATTCACCCGAGGCTCTTGCTATCATTTCGGCAATGGATTTTAAATCTAACGGAAGCTTTTCGCATGGTATGCCGTTATTACGCTCATTGTTGAGTCTAGACGTGGATAATGTCATTTACACCGCCGATGAGGGACTTAATTTTGGTGCAATGTCTTCTTCCTGGGTTGCTATTGTTAGCGGCATCGGGGGACTCAAACTGGGTCAACGGACGCTTTCCTTAGATCCATGTTTTCCCGCGGGATTGACGGTTGTCAAGTTTACAATTTCTTGGCGTGGGGCAACGTTACGTACCACGGTAGATAATGACTACATCATCTATGAACTTATTGAGGGAGACAGTATTCGGTTTGTGCATGGTAACGGGCATCGGATTCATCTTCACACGGGGTTTCACCGATATTCAGCCAAGCGACAAGTGTCTGTGCCACGGTTGATGAGCAACAACGAGGGGGAATTTGACGGTGCCATCTTTCTTTGCGAGGCATTGTTTGACGACATCATGGAGATCAACTATGCGGCTTGGTATAAAACGCTTGAGTCTCTGTTTGAGAATTACCGAGCACTGCACCTTCGTGAAATCAAACCCTTAACGCCATCAGAATACTTTGAAAAAGTTGTTTACCAGGCAGAGAAGCGTGAGATTGCGTTTAGTGGCATTCACAATGTCTTGTTGTCCCGTGGGATTGATCTTGCCCTGGGCACCCCAGACGACGCGGAGATTGTTGAGACACGATACGGATTGGCGAATGCAAAGGTGGCTGAAATGGCGGAAATAATGTCTCGTGTGAACCCCCGCGTGAACCCCTTGATGTACGCGCTGCTGAAGGATCTTGCCCACAACGGCATTGCGCTTGCGGTGGTGACGTACACGCGAAGTCTCAAGGCTCTGCTGCACTACAATCCTGAGTTGATGACACTGTTTCTTGCCTCTATTGATGGGGAAGAGGCGCATGATCGCCACATCAAAGGTCGTCCTCATATTGACATTTTTCTTCGCGGGGCCGAAAAAATTCATGTGGATCCGGCGCGTTGCCTTGTCTTCTCTACTTACCTTGATCGCGGCTTTACAGCCACCAGCCTTGCCAAGTTTCGCATGTTTTTTGATGTGGAGGTAAAATTTGTGATAGACCCAGCCTCGGAGCACTTTAATTCACATCCCAAGCTTTCCGGAGAATTGGCAACCGCAGTGAGACCTGATGGTGGGCCCCTCACTTTGCCCCTTTCACGGGAACATCTGCCAACGACAGTAGACGCCCTGGAGGACATGATATACAAACGCTGTAACGCTGTGGATGACCAGGACACGGACTGAGTCAGAACTAAGATGAGAAGTCCAAAATCGACTGGGGTTTGTTGTAAGGGTTGGCGTCGTGAGTGAGATTGACGCAACACACCGTTGGATGAACAGGGCAGGCTTGGGTGCGGTTTATGGAGCAAATGAGGGACAGAATGAGAACACACAGAGCGAAAGTAAAAATGATAATAAAATGCGGGTTACTTGCTGTGGTGGGGGGGGGGGGAGGGGGCGTAAATGGCATGATGTGAATGCACGCCTGTATAAACAAAGGCACACTCTTTTTGATGTGTGTAGATATGTACGTAATTGCAAGGCGTGTGGGTTTTTATTTTTGGCGTTAGAAAAACACTAGCCGGTGTTGTTCTCTTGTTCCCCTTTATCTGGCTGTGTTTTCGTCGTGGTTGTTACTCTCATGATGCCACTACCACAGACGAGTTGCTGGTTTCTTATGGAGTTCTCCGACCCCTACTGAGGATGATGTTGTTTGTTGCTGTTGTTGTGCCCCACTGTCTTTGTATGTGTGCATTTGTATGAGGTGTTGCTTTATTGTTTCACTTGTGTGTGTATGTGTGTGTTATCGGTCCTTTTTTGAATGCTCTTTTTGTTCTTGTATGCACGCTTTTTCTGTGATGATAGAGTACGGCAAGTTACCATGTCTGTTACAGATACACTAGGGCCAGTCTTCACACTTCTCATAATTGTCAATGCCATGAGCACAGCCTTGCCACTGCTATGGCATCGCTTTGCCTGGTATTTTCTGGTGTTTATCTCCTTTGGCCTTGCCGGTCTTTTTCTGATGATGGCCATTATTTTTCTCCTTGCGGACGCGACAGTTTCACTCTACGATGTTAATGCCAAGGGACAGGTGAAACCACAGACGACGGTTCCATTTGACCCAGCAACTTTTTTTCTAGTTAACGTGACTATGACCACGTTGATGGCCACCGCGGTGCTGGCGATGGTGGCGTGGCTCTGCCATCAGTCTCGCAAAGGCTGGTATGTCTACATCGTACCGATGCTGCGTGACCTCAACATACTCGAGCAAACTGTTTGGTTCAATGCGCTGGATCTACGTGACCGCATCGTTCCAAACTCACTGTGACGGTATCTGCACCTCACTGAAGTGGAAATGCTGGGGAAAGAGGATTTGCACTGATTTCATGAAAGACGGAGCGCAACAAAGAGGACAAGGCGAACAACGAGAGAAAAAAAAGGTGTGGGGGGGCGTCCGTCTGCCTATCTGTCGCGTTTACACGTTTGCATGCGTATCTTTTACTACATGTTTTTTTTTTTTCCTACTGTACTGTGTTTCTTGGTCAACAGTGCATTTTTCGGCATAGGAGGCGTTGAAGGACGTTTGCTGCATAGCGGTCTATTTGTTATTCGTGTTGCTGGTGGTGGTACAATTATTTGCTACATATTCATTAACCTACTAGAACCGTTTGCAGTTTCACACAGCGTGGCGCCCCGCTCTACCACTCACGACGATTCGATACAGCTCCAGCTTGTACCAGGTCATTGGGTGTGTACTGGGCCTCACACCCCACTGGCGCTACAAGAAATTTGGACCGAAGGCCAACGCTACGGTAAGTGTACCGCAGTCGAAGCCGAGTATTACGCGAATGGCGCGACAACCCAATACGGTTGTTGTGCTACATCCTGTCAATAGTAATATTGTCACTTTAGATATTTGTTTACAGCTCGATGATTTTTTGGGTTCCATCTGGCGAAAGAATATGGCTAGAAGTGAAGACGAGGCAGCGGTTACGGCAATTGAACGGCTTCAGATTCTACTGGTTCAACAGAAGGGAGAGAAGAAAGGACGACGAGTGACGAGAGACGAGTTACTCAAAGAGGCTCCATCCATTAAGGTTTTTGGTTTGGAAGGCGATGAAGAAGAGGTGGAAGGGCAAGCAACATCTGCAGCCCCAATAACCCTGAAGCCTTTAGATGCATCTGTACCTAACAGCGTATTCTGGAAGCGGGCCAAACACATGTTAATAGGTTTGACTACTGTGAATGTTAAATACAACGTCCCCACCATAACATCTATTGTCCCACCCTCTGCGCTTTATGTGGGAGTACCGGCTGTTTGCTCCGGCGTGACTACATTGTTTGCACCAGAGATTAGCATTCAATATGAATGGTGTTTATGTGCCACCGATGCAAGCGAGCACGCCACTGTACGCGTCATTTCCACGGATGCTGTTTTTACTCCCTTGGAGGAGCATGTAGAGAAGTCTTTGCTACTGCGTGTATCTCCTGAGGGAGACTCTGGACTTTGGACGCAGGTTGAGTTACCCCTTGTCCGTGCTGCATTGCCTCCTGTGGATCGGTGGAAACACACTGTGCAGCCAACAGAGGCACCTGTTTTTAGGGTGGTAACCTACAATGTCCTTCACGATGAGTTTTGTAGTACAAACACAGCGAAAAGACGTATTTACCCTTTTGCGACCGACGACATCTTGTCATTGGAGTATCGTCAAGTGCGCATTGTACAAGAACTTCTCGCATACAAGGCCGATGTGATTTGTCTGCAGGAATGTGGGAAGAAAGTGTACCAACAATTCTTTGAACGTGTCTTACGTCACTGTGGTTATGATGGGCGTTATACTAACAAGAGTGGTGGTGTAAAAGAGGGTTGTGCATGCTTCTGGAGGCGAACTCGTTTTTGTATGGATGAAGCACTTGATTTCCCATTGAACTGGCTTACCCTGCAGGAGGATCACCCAGAATTGGCGGCACGTGTGTCACTTTACCCTGAATTTCGGGAGGCACTTGAGCACGTCACCTCCATTGGGGCCTTGATTCTATTGAAAGACCTTCATACCCAGGAAGAACTACTAGTTGGTAACACGCACCTCTTTTATCACGCCAACGCATGCCATATACGTTTGTTGCAGGCATACATGTTGTTACAGAAACTGAACAATTTTGCTGCGTCGCGGCCTTGTGTGCTACTCTGTGGGGATTTTAACTTTACTCACACAACGGGCGGCTACAAACTTCTTACCAGCGGTCAGACAGAGGCGGAACATCATTCCTGGAAGAAGGGGGAACTTTTCTATTGGGGGTGTGATCGCATGCTGAGTGTCAGTACAGAAGAAACCGAGGAGAGCGAAAAGGTGGCGTCATCAGCGGTGCCGGCGACTGAGCAAGTCAAGCACCAGACGCCACTCGAGGCCTTCCGAGAGACCCTTAAGGCACCATTGCAGCTGAAGGATGCGTATAGCGAGACAGGTGAAAACATGCCCTGGTCAAATTACACCATGACATTTCGTGAAGTCATTGATTACATATTTTTTGCGCCAACACGTCTTTCCGTGTTGCGCACTGTCCCCATTCCACCAGAGAGCGAGTTGTCGGAGAATGTTGCGTTACCCAACAAGCGGTATCCATCGGATCATCTCGCGTTAATTGCGGACTTTATGTACACTTCTCATCCTTCACCGTCGCAGTCGTCGTCTTCGTCGTCGCCTCCGCCGCTGAGCTAAACGCGATGCGTTTAAGCGAGAGGAGGAAGAGGGGACCATCGCCGGATGTTGTTTTTTGTTTTTGTTTTTAACGACACTTTCATTTACCTTTGGATCTATTGAGTTGTGGATTTGGCAGTGTAATCAAATAAAACAACAGCAACTACAACATGTGGGAAAAATAAAAATAAAATATGCTTATTGTTGGTATGGAATAATCTTTTTTATTTTTATTGTTTGCATCGATAACTTTTTTCTCCACGTTTTTGTTTCCCAGTATGCTGTGCGTACAGAGTTGGATATCTTTCTCTTTCTGTATGTATGTGTGTGTTTGTGAAGTTGTTGGTGCTTCTCGCTTATTTTTTCTTTGCTTTTTATTGGTATCCACAGTGAATTTGGGGGCATGGGAGAAGTAGGAGGGCGCGGCGTGGGGGACGGCTGGCAACGACGACGTCACAGACCCTAATAGGGAGCACAATACGCATACAGTGTGAGGCCCTGAACTTACGGTGGTGCGAGACATCCACGCCATGCTGTCTATCACTCGTCGCCACGCAGATGTTGGGAAGGAATTGTATGGTAAATTATCGACGCTTCCGGGATATTTTTATGGGGCATGCCGTAGTCACTTTGGAATGACTCTGCACCAAGACACTTTTATTGGGATCCGCTCATCACAGCTGCGAGGTTTATTTTTATCTACCAGCAGTAAACCGTTGGAGGCCAATAAACTAATTGCCACTATTCCACTTGCAAGCCTCTACACAGTTTCTAACATTGGAACTAAGCCCAACGCGCTTCGTCACGTGTTATTGGAGGATGTTTGCAATGCGGTGATAGAAGAATAGTTTAAGATTATGACCCCTCAGTTTTACCTAGTTCTTCAGTTTAGTGCCATTATCGCTAGTCTTCCGGATATCACTCATGCACAAGATGAGGAAGAAATGGAGCGCATCACGCACATTCTGCGTGGTGGAGCCATGCCTTGGGCTAGAATGAATGACGATGAGGATTTTAATGAACAGTTTATTTTTTGGTATGTACGGTATGGCACTCGACACGTGGCAGCGACAAAGCTACGAGGAAATGACGAAGAAGTTTCATAGCAATATTACTGCCATTCATGAAAAACTTGAACCCCCGTTTTCAGTAGACACATTTAGACGCATTACACGTTTGGTTTTGGCACGTGCGGAGCACATGCCTCCTTTGAACTTTTACGATGGCTCATCTGTGTGGCGTCGCCCACGCCACTACCTGCGCCGCTGTATGAAACGACCAGACCCATCAGAGGTGTGTATGGTGCTGCTGCTTGACTTGGTTAATCATTCTAACCGACCCAACTGTGGATTGTGCGTGGGTTTGAGTTTGGTTGTGGGCGGCAAGGGTGCCATAACACTCTACTCCATTGTCCGCATCAACCCGGGTCAGGGGATTTGTCGGCACTATAATTTTGCCATTAATCGTCCGAACGCCCCCTTTTCGTTATGGATTTTTGCCGTTTGACCTGATTTCTGTCGTGGAGCACGATGCCATTGACGAGTACCTTGTCAAAAATCAGCATATGTTGTGCGAGGAGTTGGAGGAGGTGAAAACAAAGCGGTGAAAGGAAAGGGATGAAATCCAGTGGCTGGAGAAGATTTTCCAACGGGCACGGTCGGGACGATTGTCTGAAAAGGGGTTTGAACATTAGCCTCTGCAAATATGTTTTAGGTTGTTGTTTTTGATCTATTGTTTTTTTTTTTTTTCATTATTTGTTTTATTTCTGTCCTCTGGAGTGTCACATAGATGCATACATATGTATGTTCAACGTTGTTCCTGATCAGTGACTGTGGGTAGCGTTGCGCGGTGGCAATGCTTTTTGTTGTTGTTGATGCCGCTGTCATTCCCACTACTATCACATCCGTTGCAACCGTGTTAGTGATCATTACACAATTCTTTTGGCGTCAATTGTCTTTGGGGGTCTACTCCTTTTCTTCTTCTTTGCGCTAAGTGAATCGGGGGTGGGGGTGGTGGCGGTGGGGCGGGACAACGCGGCGTCGGACACAGTTGGAAGGGGCAACTTGTGGGTGTTTGTATGTTTATTGTCACCTCAAAAGTTCCCGTCACAACTCCAGCATTGGTGTCGTAACTCCTTTATGTGGCGTCTCTGTGGGTGTAGGGCGGTTTTATTTCTACCGTGTTCCATTGCCACGGGGCGGCGGTATTTGGGGAGCACCAACAACGCGTATCATGGCACTGGGAAAGGGGAAAGTGCTGCTACTGGCAATAGTATGGATGGCAATTCCCCCAAAGAGACGTCTATTCCTGGTGGCGTTCAGCAGAACACGGGTGTAGGTAAAAAAGTGCTTTCAGATACGCATGCTCAATTTATTACCACCACAGAGGTCTCTACAAGCACCGGTGTACGTTGGTTGGATGTTGCCGGGCGAAGCCAATTATGGGTTAATGATTCGTTTTTGGGAGAAGGTGAGTTTGTGGCTCACGCTATGGAGGCCCTTCGTGGAGAAAACCTACCACCGGACATGATACCCAAGGTTAGTCATAAAGCGCGCGCTTTGCCATTTGTTTATATTGAGGATAACTGGGCGTGTTTGACCTTGCGTTATGCGCGACAAAATCCACGTTGGTTTTCTACTTTTTTTCACGATGAGGTAAAAAACTTTCGCGAGACTGTGTCAAATGGTACACGGCGGGCAAAATATTCCAAGTTGCAAGAAAACGGTGAGGACGAAGACGATACCCTAAAAATAGGCGATGAGGACGAGGCTAGTATGCGTTGTGGTCGAGAGAAGGCACTGACTGGGAGGAGTCCTCAACATGGGATGTCTTCCCAGGTTAATATGATTGAGTTGACAGATCGCCTGCATATCTTTTTATTGAAGGAAAATCTGACGTTGATTGAAGGCGGAGACAAAGTGAGTACGCCGTACTTGAGTGTTCGGCAAGCTGAAAAGATTTCTCAAAAAGACGGAGGCGGCACTAAATTAGATTTAATTTCCGGGCAATGGCGGATAGTTACAGTTCACCGTTATCGAATGCCGTTTCTCGAAGCGTTTTTGGTCAACTGGGCGACAAGTGGACTACACCGAGGTCCATGGATTGGCATCGTGCGAAGACTCGTTCACGGCGCCACTTTGAGTATACAGGGTTTGGATTACAAATATGCGGAACGTATTGATGAGTTTGAAATGTTCTTATTTGAGTCTTCTATGAAAATGAATGGTATTTCCACGATTCTTGCGCAGCTGCACATTATTAACCGACGATCAAAGATTCACGCTAACTTTCTTCGTGAGACCCAACGCAGCTACACGAAACTTTTGAGTGCGTTAAACTTACCCATAGAATTGGAGGATCAAAGAGAGATTCTTTATCTTTCTCATGCCTTGTCTCTTGCTGATGAACTGCATGATCAGTCCCGTTCCCTTCTCACGCTTCAGTTTTCTGTCGCAGCGTACATGCTGGAGGATCATCTCCGCATTTTGACACTTTTCACAACCTTTTTCATCCCACTCGAATTAATCACATCGTGGTTTGGGACAAATTTTGTCGGACTGGAAGACTTCGTGGAGAGTGAACAGGGTTTGCTTGTTGCAGGGATCATGCTGGTGGTAACTGCAATTATTACAAGTGTGTGGATGCGTCGTCATGTGATGGCGTTGGGTTAAAAAAAAAAAAAACTTGTTTTGCTCCATTTGTTTGTTTGTTTTTTTGTTTTTTTTGTTTTTTTCCTTTTTGTGGGGAAGTTTCTTCCGTTGCTTTGGGTGGGGCGATGCAATGGTTCAGGGTTAAGTAAGTACTATTTGTTGCGTTTGTGTGAAGGTGAAGGATGCCGCTTTTACCTGTTACGCATTTTATTTTATTTTTGCCTTTTCCCATCTTCATTTATGCACATGCGCAGTGTGGTGATGTTACGTTGGTCATTTTTTTATTTTTTTTTGTCTCGATGCTGCTGTGCCTGTGTGTGCCTGGGTATGTGGTGTTTTTCAGCCCCCAGAGCTGCGATGAAATAATTGGGAAGAGGAGAAGGGAAGGGCGTCTCACTGCCTTCCTTACCCCCTCTCTTTCCCTTTTTGGATGAAGAAGTGTGTAGGCACTATGATTCATTCCCTTTATTGCCATAATGTTGATTTTGTTTGTTTTTCACTATTTGTCGCGTGTGTTTCACATTCTATTTGCTTTTTTTTTTTGTTGTTGTCTTCCTCCTCTTGTGTGCCTTCATTACTATGCGGGAAAATGAAAGTAGGACGGAACGTAGGCAGAATTCCCGAGTAGCAGAGAAAGCGTCAAGGAATTAGCATTCTGCCTTCCTTCTGCATATATAATTCTTCCACGGCCACAAAACAACACATACACGCACAACAACGTTGTATTGGTATTTAATTTATAGGAAGCAGACAAGATATTGAGCGAAGAAGGAGCCAATGAAGCCATTGAGTCAAACGCTGCGGATGCTTGCATCTCGGCGTCCCTTCACAACCATTTTTGTTTTGCTAATTTTTTTTTTCAGATGATACTGCTTACAAGCAAGGGTGTTGAGGGATTTCCGTTTACGAAGTCCTCTGGTGTTGTGGAGCTGACGCCTGCAAGTTTTAATCGATTCGTGTCTTCACACAAGCCAGTCTACATTCTCTTCTATGCCCCGTGGTGCGGGCACTGCCGCAAAATTCACCCGGAGTGGGAGAAGTTTGCTCAGGCTGTTCAAGGCACCATACGTGTGGGTGCTATCAATGCGGACGAACACTCGCAGCTTGGACACCAGTTTGGCGTTCGTGGCTTTCCAACTATTAAATACTGGAACGTGGGTGAGAAGGATATTAACAAGGCACAGGAGTACGGTGGGCCGCGACAGGCGGGGGCGATTCAATCCAGCGCGATGAGTCAAATAACTTCTGCTGGCATAAAAACAATTGCGAGCAGCGATGCCCTGAGGAAGGCAGTGCGCATGGCACCTGAGAAGAAGGTGGTGGTTCTCTTCTCCTCGAAGCAACGTGTTCCTGCTATTTTCTCTGTCTTGTCACACTCCCCACGTTTGAAGTCTATGCCGTTTTGTTTTGTTGGTGGGCAGGTGAAAAATGAACTCGCAGCGGAGTTTGGAGTACAGGCATTTCCGAGCATTGCCGTTCTCAATGCCACTGATGGCGAGATCAAGACGGTGGTCTACCCGGGGAAACAGATAGCCTACGAACCTATTGCCAAATTCTTGTTGGAGTCTGCAACAAATGTTTCTGACAAATCGGCTACCGCGACTGAAAATGCTACGGACAGACCTAACGTAAACGACAGTGACAAGGGCGGGAATGGCACTGCTGCTGGTGCCGGTGGTAGTGGTGGTAGGTAGTAGTAGTAGTAGTAGCCACGGTAAGCCAGCATTACCCGTGCGTCCGGTTCGCTTAACCACACAGTTATTGATAGATTTTTGTTCACCGAATACACTGCGTGCAAGTGGACGAGCACCACTGTGTGTGGTGTCACTTACTTCTGCGTTTACTCTTGACCGTGTTCACAACACTTTTCGCAATGAACCTCTTCTATTCCTTGAGGGGCATGCCGATCGTGATGCACTGCTTGCTGCCCTTCGGGGTGGTCTTGGCCTGCCAGAGGTGGCCGACAGTGCTCAGAATGCCGCAGCCAATCAGCTGTTATTATTACGGGCAGCGAAGCATGATGTAATCCGCTACAAGCTTCTTGACGGAATTGAATCAGTTGATGACGCCAATGAGTTACTGCAGAAGGTGCTGTCGGGAGAAGTACGTCTTGGGAAAAAGGTGCTGCGTTGATTTAACGACGTTTGACACATTGTGCGCGCGGAGCCGCAGAAGCAAGACGAAAGAGATATGAGGATGGGGTGAGTCTTACTTCTTCAAGGCACTTGCTTTAATTAATCCCAGTTCTTTTGTTTTGCGATGGTATCTGCGATTTATGATTTGTTTTTTTTTTTTTTTTTTTGAGCGACATGTGTTTATTGGGCCTTTGTCTTTTGTGCATATTTGTGACGGAAACCCACAAAAAAAAAATATATTCCGTTGACGCCATCTTTCCGTTTTGGAGTGGTGTCTGGCGCTGCTTGGCCGATACATGGAATAAGCTGCGAGTTGTACATGCCGGCCTGTCGTGGTGATTCTTGTGCATGTGTGTTTTCCTTTCATATATATATTTATTTTTTGGTCTTGTTGTTGTTTGCCGCATATATATATATATTTGCTTGTTTGAAGGGCTGCCTAAGACTAAGACGGTGGTGAGAGTACCTCAACCGAGAAGGGGTGAGCAAAACGGAAATAAGGCGTGGTGGATAAGCGGGTAGTGACTCGCTATATCGAGTGGTGTAGGAGGAGATAAACAAGGGAAAAGGGATAAGCTTCGCTCGGTGGCGAGGGAGGCATTCACGTTGAAAAACGCGGGCCACTTCTATACATATATAGAGGAAGGCAAGGACCAAACGAAGAAAAAAAAAGAGTTATGGGTGTATGTATCTCCTTTGGAGAGTGCAGCGTCCCGCATAGCCGAGAGAAAGCGAAGGAAACAGCACGGGAGAACAATTGCACATTGGAGAATGCCAATGGAGGCAGTGTTGCAACTGAAATCTTGTCTGCGTTGACGAACAGAAACCTGGGACTTATGGACGCACGATCGTACGCTCAGCTTGAGAATAGCATAGAGGAGCTTTGTCAAAGCCCATATGCGGCACTGTTTTTGGCCCATCCGGACTTGTTATTTTCTAATCGAGCAGCTGTCATGTGCACTGGAGAGTTTGTTCCAGGGGAAGTTGTGGGAAAGTACACTGTTCTGCGAGCCTTTCCCACAGGAACTGTGGGACGTAGTTTTTTCGTTAGGGTAGCAATGGATGAAAGCGGAAAAATAAAAGACGGGTCAGCGAAGGAAGCCAGGCCAAGTTTGGGGGACAAAGTTTCGACAGACCGAGCATCTTTCAACAATTTATTTGAACAACCAACAGAATGCGTTTTCAAGGTGACAACATTCGTCACGCGTATGGAGGTTGCTAGTCAGGTTTTGGATGATCAAAGTGTATTGGCCAACCTGATCCACGATAACGTACTGCGCTGCGTAGATGTGCTAGATGATGGATACCATGAGAATATTATTTTTGTTACTCCATATGTTGAAAATGGCAGTTGTGAATATCTTGTAGGCAACATGGTAAAAGAGCAGTTACTTTCTCTGCTACATGATGTGGCTATTGGTTTGCGTGTCCTCCATTCTCATGAAATATACCATCATAACCTAAAGCTTGACAACATTCTCATCAATAATAATGGCACCGCCTGTATTGCTGATGCTGGATTTGGACATATTTTTGCATCAGAAAGTTTGGACAGCCTTGTTTTTAATGGTGAGTTGGCTTGTATGCCACCTGAAGTGTTTTTGAAGAATGACTCTACCGTAGTGGATCCTGCCAAGGTGGATGTATGGGGATTTGGACTGCTAATGTATCGACTTGCCTACGGCACGGAGCCGCTGGATGTTGAGGGTAAACCCTTTGAAATGGTACGAGATGTTGTGCTGCATGGACAAATTGAATTTCCGAGTCCAGATTGGCTTTCAGAAACAAAGTTTCGGGAGGTTGTTATGTGGTGTCTCAATCGTGATTTCAGGAATCGACCTACCATTATGCAGTTGTTGCGTCACCCTCTCTTTGGGGGCACGTTACTGCACAGTACTAGTGGGGCTGCACTTTCCAGCCCTGATAAAACGAATGGAAATTGCAGTGGACACGGTGACGCTGGCCTTAGTTTTGGTAATATTGGGATGCGCTATGCACAGTCTCAGAAACGGGCTGGTTTGACAATATATGCGTGTCTTGGAAATGGGCGAAATTGTGAGTCATTTATTGTGAATTCGAGTCGTACTACCACAAAAGAGGTCGTTTTGAAAGTTATAAAGCGATCGGTACTAAAAATAATTCAGAGCATGCCAGACGCAAGTGAAATGCTGCGACAGTTAGCCTTTTGTCGTGAAGCTCGTCACAACAACATATTACATCTTCTGGACATTGTTGAAAACGATGATGGCTGCTTTGCGACACAACCGTATGTAGACGGGGATTTTATCCATAGGAAGTTTCCTCCAATTACAAACAATGAAGACCCTTCTTTTACGCTGCCGAGGATGCTTGTGGATGTTCTTAACGGGTTACATTTTATTCACTCAAATGGGGTGTCGAATTTATGTCTTACTCCAACAAATGTTTTTTATCAGAAAGACACTGGCTTCGTTTTTGCGGACTTTGGTCCTCTGTTTTTAACGCGGCAAGAAGTTTTATTGGATAAGGGAACGGGGTTTCCTTTTTATTCACTTCCGTCGTGGGTGCTTGAAGATCTTAGGGGGTTGGAACAAACGACAAAACACGCATTAGACACTTTTTGTGTCGGTTTGCTCGCAGCCTCAGCGGTTCCATCGGTGTTTAAGGAGACATGGGAATCATTTTTTAGTGCGAGTGAGGGTAACACTATTGTGAATGATGTCACTGAGAAGGTCGAAAAATCTGTACATATTCTCACTCAACCCCTTGTGGGATTTATTTTAAAAGCGCTAACGACCAAAACATCCGCAGTGGAACTTTTGTCTCACCCCTATTTGGCCGATATGGCGGGTGCATCTCCACCTCAGGTTGTCAAACCGTTTGAGTTGACGTCTGCTGCTATAAAAGCTGTGGTGGCTCAAGATTTTAGTTTTCGTGAGGAATGCCGCCTTATGGACGTACTAGGTCAAGATCCTATGCTTGAGAGTGGTATGCTTGGCAATTTAGTGGATTCCTTTGTCGATGATGAAAGCCGAGTCAGTGTCTCTGCCACTAAAGATTCAGATTTGTCTATTCGACTCCCGTTTAAGAACAATCTTGCCTGTGGGCTTTGTCATGTGGATTTGACCATTGTCTTGTTTAAGTGTCTGAAATGTGCTTCGTACATTCGGTGTGGTAAATGTGCTCTAAACGACAACCATGGAGAAGGTCATGAGATGCAGACGTATTTCATTCATACTATTGAGCATAAAGGAGATTGTAAAGACGCCATTCTTTACCCAACAGGTGTCGTTTCAAATGTAAATGCTCTGGAAGAATTAGAGATGCAGGCGAATTTGCCCGTTGGATCTCTCGTGAAGACGAATCATCCAGCTTCAACTACGACAACACCCTTGGATAAGCTCAAATCGCAGTCTGAAAACAAGAAAAAAGTGCTACCCAAAGCCTCTGAAGTTGATGATTTGTCATGGGAGGAGGAGATTGCTTTTTGTAGTGAAAAAGGCAGTACAGAATTATTGCTGTACCATTTTGGTTTGGACACAGTTCCAAAGGAGCTGTATGACCCGCCCCTGCTTCACGTGATGCGTTTGGATCTTAGCTACAATAACCTCAAGAGCATCCCACATGAGCTATCGTTTCTTGTTAAACTTCGTAGCCTGATTATCTCATACAATGAGCTGACGGAACTCCCAGATAGTTTGGGTAATTTAAGCCAACTAGAGCGACTTGATGTTAGTCACAATCAACTGCATCAGCTTCCGCAGTCATTTATGTATCTGCAGAACTTAGTCACTCTTGGTATGGATTACAATGACTTTGCCGAAATTCCAGAAAGCGTGATAGAACTTGTTACCATGTCATCATCGATACCAATGCTATCTGTAATTTACATGGCAGAGAATCATCGTATTACGCAATTTCCAAGTCGAGAAGTTCTTGAGAAGTTTCCTAAACTAAAACTAGTACTTGACAATGAACCCAACATATACAGCATGTACATTTCGGAGAATTTGGAAGAAAAGTTGCCTAATGTTAGCATGATGTGGAACAAAATTTATCCCGACCGCATCGTTGACTATGTATATTGTGGTAGTCTGCGAAGTGCACAGTCCCAGCTGGTGTACGATAAACTTTCCATCCAAAATATTTTAACCATGGGCAGGAACCTCGTCCCAGTACCCCCAATTGGTGGTGAACATGTGACTCTCAGTATCGATGACATTGAGGGCGCTAATATCAGAGTCACCTTTGAAGAAGCAGTTAACTTCATTGATCAAAGCGTAAAAAGAGCAAGAGGATGCCTAGTACATTGTTTTGCTGGTATGTCGCGCTCGGCGACCACCGTTATTGCATATCTTATGATAAAACAGGGCATGCGTCTCGATGAGGCGTACTGCCTGACCAAAAAGGGGCGCCCTGCCATTTATCCAAATCAAGGCTTTTTCAATCAGCTTTTGTTGCTCGACGCTGAGTTATTTCCGCAAGCACGCCCACTCAATATGGATGTGATGGAGAGGGATAAGGTTCCCACTGCATAGTTAAGAGAATACGTCTATCTATTTGCCTGTATATACATGTATGTATATATATATATATATATATATGTACAATTGTACATTGATTTTTTCTTCTGTTTGTTTGTTTGTGTTTTATTATTATTTTGTGTTTTACGTATTGCTTTAAGGGGTTTTTATTCCATGGGCACTACCTTCTAATCCATTTTTTTTTCGAGTTTTGAAAATATACATGCGTTTACGTGGCTTTATATATATGATTTCTTTTTTGTTTTCAGCAGATTGAAGGCTCCGGGAAAAGGGCTGGTGTGTGTGTATGTGAAGAGGGCAAGGAGGGGGAAGGGGGATGGGGGATGGAAGGGCAC